ATTGATTGAAACTAGTCTTTTTTACTTGAACACAAACTGTCGCCACTAGGTGTTGGTTTCAGTGTCCACTTTTATATTTACATATGCTCTCTCCCTGATGTTAAGCACTTTTAAACATATCTGTAACAAATCTTAAATTATATTTTTATTATATTCATATGTATGCTATGTATATGTTAAAACTCCTGTCAAGGAACTGTGATTCATTTTTTTTTTATTTAATGTTTCTTGTATACGTATAATCTTTTAATTTTCAGGACATAATTTATGTAAAAATTGTCCGAATTTTTACGACAAATAACAACAGCTAAAAATTAAATCCACCATTTAAATAATGTAGTCCAGATCCATATCACTCTTAGAATTATTGATGGAGAGCGTAAACACAGACAAATAATTACTAAAAATCTTTGCAACTTATAACAAGGAAATATTCAACTTCGCAATAACAGTTAACATGTCCAGCCATAAATTAACTGACGACCATAAGATATTCATAAATCTAGGACCAACATGCCATCTTCAGCTTAAATTTGACCTCTTCACGAAGAAGTTCGAAATGAAATTCTACGCCATCCATTATTTCATCTGGAAGCTGATTAAATAATAAAACTCCATCCAAACCTCAGAGATTTTCTCAAGGTAGAAGGACTATTCGAACAATTTCTACATAATTTGTCCAGAAAAGAAAAAATATATAAGAACACAAGAAAAATTAAATAAAAACCTTAACCGCAGTTCGTTGTCAGTCGTTTTTAACGAAACTTGTATAAAGTTGGGATTACTGCCCAAATACAGAATTATATATATATATATATATATATATATATATATATATATATATAAAGAGAGAGAGAGAAAGAGAGTGAGAAATAGAAAGAGAGAGGGGAGGGCGTGTGAGGCAGAGAGACAGAGAGAGACAGACAGTGACAGAGAGGAAGAGAGGAGTTAAAATCCTTTATAGGTTTTTCGCTTAGTTATATGTACGACAACAAAGGTGAGATCAGTAGCCTGAACAATGTAAATAGTGTAAATAATTAAAATACCTCATCTCAGAAATATACATAGGCATATATGTATATATGGAATAACAAAAATGGGTTAAATTTGGGTTGATGGCTGTCCAAATGAATATTTGACAGACTAAAAACAAAAACAAAAAATAAATAAATAAAAATAATTATATTATTTCCCCGTTTCTGATACGGTAATTCAGCAAATAGCACAGTCACGGTCGTCATGGAAGTAATTTGGAAAATCTGCAGTAGAGTCGGCATAATTATTGCTGCTAAGCATTTGCACACATACAAGCTGATTTCTGATGATATATATATATATATATATATATATATATATATATATATATATATATATATATGTGTGTGTGTGTGTGTGTGTGTGTGTGTGTGTGTGTGTGTGTGTGAGCTATTTCCCAGACAATGGAGTAGCTCCGAATAAATATCTATATTTTTATATATGGAAATTTTATTGATAGCTTGCGACAAATATAATCGAAAGTAGAGAATAAGAAATGGTAAATTCTAAAAATAGAAGACAAAGAAAGAGAATATGACGGCCAGAAGAAAGCAAGTAAATAATTGCGAAACATTTTTAAATGTCAAACATGCTTTTGCGTTTTTTCTTTTGATATTTTCCCATATTTGGTTCTATTTCTACCCATTTTTGAATTGTAATTCATTCAGAAAAATAAGAAAGCATTGGAAAGGAACTTCTAGATGTCAGTGATAGCAAAAACGTAAAACCTTATACATATATATTAAAACAATTTTATGTTTATACGTTCTTTTTATAGATACAAATATTTAAGTAAATGCTCTGTTTATAATAAACAGTATTAACAACATTTGAATGTCCTAGAAATTTTAATAGAAAATATGGGTTCTCCAACAGGAATCGAACCTGTATCCTATAAAGAACCGTCATATAGCCTGACGTGCTTTACCGATTTAGCCACAAAGGAGCATTTTCCTTAGCGATATATATAGTTAGAAATATATACAATGACGAAGTGTACCTTGTTTTTAAGGATAACAGTAAGACACCTAAGCCCTTTTCGCACATCGAAAACATGTCCCTTAACAAAACCAAATTTCTTTTGCAAGCATGACAAAATTAAATTGTTACCAATTGTTTTTATTATTGAGTTTTTACTCGAAGTCTGTGGTAAATACGAAATAAAAATAATTCTCTTTCCTCCACTGTTTTCAAATTCGCGAGCCTATGTGAAAATTTATTTTGACCAATGGAAAATGGAGCGGCTTACAAACGGAGAAAAAAGTAACAAGCCGATGTGAAATCGCTTTTTGATATAAATAGGTAGAGAATGTTAAATCAAGTCAGAGAAAGAGATAGAGAGAGAGAGAGAGAGAGAGAGAGAGAGAGAGAGAAGAGAGCAGAAAGAAGCAGGAGGCAGAAAGCCAGAGTACCACGCGCCAGACTAACACAGGTTTCAAATTACACACTGTTACATTATAAGCCTCTAATAAGAGCAGGACAATTTCAAAGAACTCCATTCAACTCCAAAGTTACCTTAAAATATATCTACCAAAGGTACCTTAAAATATATCTTTTCATTCATGTTGAATACAACCGTATAACTTTTATGTGAAAAAAACGTACTCTCTTAATTTGTTTTCAACATTTTGTAATATTACTTTGTGTCCGATTATTTAATATAAACATTTTCTCTTCTTGAAAATTCATCGAAACTACGAAATAAATATTTGATTCCATTTTATATGGAATCAAAATATTTAAATATTTGATTCCATTTCCTGAAACAAGTTTCAAATAACTTCAAATGTGTAAATTTGTAAATATATTCCTTGTTTCGCTAAATAAAACACGTGTGTTTCCTCGTCATTTTCCTTCAATACTTCAAGTCTCCAAGAAAGTCAACATAAGAAGTGCCTTTTAGTACATCTGTTTCTTTTTGAAAATTACATCAAATTCACTATTTAATATATGGTGATCCTTGTGGCTAAGCAAGTATTATAGCGGTTAAGGTATCAAAAAGGGGCAAAATCGAGTGGAGTTCTAATTCCGGTTAAGTTTGTTGCATTCACTTATAACAAATACCATTGGGTAAGTTATTAATCTATCCCTGGCTGGGCTGTAGCCGTGGCTGGCAACCAGTGTTGGGGAAGGACAAGTCTGAATAAAAAAGAAACGTATTAGTATCCCGGAGGAGTCGCGTTGAAAACATTAGAGAGTTCACAGTTAACCTCACAGATGGGTTATGGGCTCTTTGATCCTGCTGCATCTAAAGAGGCGATGGCGAGTGGTACTTAGCAATATTCTTTTGAAGTATTCCCCCACCCAAAAGCTGTCACGAATTCCATCCTATTTTTAAACAAGCGAACAAGATTTCTGGAAGTTCTTGTTCATTGACATTGAACGTAGAAAACTCGGTATGTTTATTTATCAATCAGACAGAGTTTATGTTTGGGCACAGCTCGCGTTGTGGACTCAACTCGCTTCTGAACTGTTAGCAAAATCTGAGAAAGCCAGATACATGATTATCAAAATAGTTATTTTGCATCAAGATGAGTATACATATTGTGCCATTCTTATGAGAGGTCTTCCATTTTTTCTTCTATAAAATTTGGCAATCACGCACACCAAATAACGTCTAGAATAGACAGATCCGAGACGATAGCTCCCGTATTCACGGTCGGATTTCAGTCACATCCATTAAGTTCGCTTACGCGCCAATAACCTTGGGATAGGTATGAATCCTCTTTTTCTCCCCCCCCCAACATACAGCTATGGTTAAATAGCAGGATAGATCGGGTTCTATAGCCTTGGATAGCAACTAGTCTACCGCAGAAGGAAATGGCAACCAACTGCGGGAAAATATCTGCCTTGTCAGTCATGTATCGAAAGATACATGATCAACTAAGTGTGTATCATGCATGGCACATAACTGACTGAATGAAGTTTCTTGGCCTTTTTCCAGACGCATTAAAAATATTTCCTAAGCTGTTTTTGATATTGAACGTAGAAAACTCGGTATGTTTATTTATCAATCAGACAGATTTTATGTTTGGGCACAGCTCGCGAGGTGGACTCGACTCGCTTCTGAACTGTTAGCAAAATCTGAGAAAGCCAGATACATGATTATCAAAATAGTTATTTTGTATCAAGATAAGTATACATATTGTGCCATTCTTATGAGGGGTCTTCCATTTTTTCATGCAGCATTTTGTTGCGCAATGGCGAAGAGGATATTGAACTGGAGGTTAGAGTAGGAATGCCCAGATCATAAAGTTAAACATTCGAAAGCTAATCTTTTTCGTTGATTGGTTTTTATATTCTATTCTATATTTATCCTGTGTGCATTATATAGGTTTTGGTTGATTTTCTTTCGAGGCATATCAACCTCTAGAGGTTATTTAATGCTGAAATCTAAATATTTTCAACGCAACTTTATGGCTTCAACTAAATATCTTTCGAGCGCAATTATATGCCTTCAACTACAGATTAAATGTATTGTTGGAAATTTTGCTATAAAATGTATTGCTGGTCATTTTATTATAAATAGTTTTTTTTTTTTTTTAAATCAAGTTAACTCCAATCAAGACAGTAAAGCCACAGAAACGTAAAGGCTTGTTGGGTGTAGAAGAGTTAGAAACGAAAACATTGACAAGGAGCGAGAACAGAGGAACAATAATCAGGAGTACAGCAGATAGCAATTGACATTGCATTTAAATTTGTTTTTTTTTTTTTTAAGTTAGCTGCAAAGCATGGAACAAGAAAGAAGTTCTACAAGGGAGAATATCTTTACAATATCAGTGACCCCATTGCGTCTGAGTGTTTTTATCCCTTGGGATAAAATGATTTTAAAATATAATCTATTTTCAACCACCATCTGATCCAAAGGGACATGAGCAACATTCTGTTTACAGTGAAGAAAGTAGGATTCACTAAGTCTGTTCAGTTGATCGTCCTGCCAGGATCGATCTGACTACTGTAGTGTGTTCGATATTAATCTGTTAATTATTGCATCACGGTCAGTTGCTCTTCTAAAGCGCTTATCTTCTCTAGCGCCATTCATATGGGTAGCGCTTTATATAAATTATCGGTTTATTCTAGAACTTAATAAACCGATTGCTTCATCTGAATAGAGTAAGGTACTCCATCACGGTGGAATAATGGATAGCAACTCAGAATGAAGAATCGAAGAGCCGAGTTCGAATTCGAGTCGAATCTATTACATACACTTACGTGCTAATAACCTTGGGAAAGGTATGAATCCTCTTCTTTTCCCCCAGCTATGGGTAAATAGCAGGACAGACCGGGTTCTATAGCCTTGAGTGGCAACTGGTCTACGGCAGAAAGAAATGGCAACCTGCTGCGGGAAAATATCTGCCTCGTCATTCATGTATCGAATGATACATGATCGCCTAAGCGTGTATCACGCACGGCACATCACTGACCCCCCCAAATGTGTTAATGCTAGAGGACTCGGATAAGGATGTATAATTTTTAGATCAATAAATTCGAGCAATGATGTTTTTTTCTATAGAATGATGTACCGCGTGTAATATTGAAATTGTCCAAATCGTGAAACAGCAAAATTGTCCAATTGTTAGATTAATCTTTGCTCTATACTAAACATTAAATCTGTTACGAAAAAAGAACTAAACAAAATGAACACAAAACGATCAGCTTTAAAAAAGAACTCGTAACTGGAAAAACCGAATGAAAAAAGAATGTTAACAACAAATACTTTTTCACACCTCACCCAGTTCTGCGGAATCAGAAACTAGGATCTTTTCATTCATAAACAGGTCGGGGTTTTTGTATGTTATTTGAATTGTTTGCGACGATGGATTTCTCGCCAATTAAATCATTAAACTTTGTATTTGTTTTTTGTATGAATAATTCATGAATATATATATATATATATATATCTATATATATATATATATATAAAAACGATAAGTATGTATTAACAAAACTAGAGTATAAATAGACAATATAATATTGTTGCTGGTTACTAAACAATAAATATGAATGAAGAAAACCTTTAAATTTGTGTATGTGTGTGTGTGTGGTTTGGCGTAGAAGAAAATCCCAGAGAAATGAAGTGAAAGTTGCGTGCACGTTTTCGTCATTCGACCTACATCTTACTGTCGCTGAGGCAAAATGGAAAAACAAAATGACAAAATTTCATCGCGTAGGTAACTACCCTCAAATAATAGTGAATATATAATTAGATTGAATGTAAATATTTAATTTGTGAAGAATAAAGTTGATTAACAAACACCATCCCCACCAAAATTACGAATCGACCTCGTATCAATATTTTATGATTGCACCTCAAAAACGTAAATTTTTAGATCTTGGCAGCTGATCTCTCCTATGCTCCAGCTTTAACAGATCAGTGGAGGAAAAACCAGATTTTATATTCAATACCACTTAAGCCAAATTATTAACTTTTCGTTATCACCGAAAGGACCCTAAATTTCCTCTAGTTATTCGTCCATTCGGCTAGGGCTATAAAATACACCGACTACACCAATGCAGGGGGCTAAGAAAACCCAGACGTATTAAATGAATAGTCATGGGTATGGGGATGAACTACTTTCAGGGCGATTGGAGGTTTTGAGAAGTGTGGAATCACCTCTTAATTGTTTTTGTTCCCAGGTCCTCCCTAGCCCGGGGTGCTAGCACCTGTTAGGGTCCCAGCTATGGACAAACAGTGCCCCCCCAAATCCTATGAAAGTATAAAAATACACATTTACAGAAAAAATGCAAACAATGCTTTTTTTAAAGTTTTTTTTTCACTGTTTACATTGTTCGGACTGTTGTCCTCATCTTTCGTTGCTATATTCACGACGTTTCGATAGTTGTACGCTTCAGCCCACTTCAGATGATTGGAATTTCGAATTGAACCCTTTATGTCGTCCACCGTCCAGTAAGATCATCGATACAGTTCACAATGGAGAACAATAACTCGCCTTCCTGGATGTACTAATATCTCGAACAGAGCATGGGTTCAAGTCACCCGTATACCGCAGGCCAATATTCACCGGAAAATACCTCAACTTCAACTCCAACCACATATACAGTGTAAAGAAATGGATCGTCCGCTGAATACATAAGTGACGATCCATAGATATATGAACAAGAAATGGCCAGTATAGGCAGTACCCTACAATGTAACAACTACCCTGAGTATATGGCAGCAGCTCCGACAAACTGGGAGAGGAGGATACAAGAGGATGACTGTTATGGAGTGGTTTCACAGTGGAGGCTAGTAGTTGTACTAAGTCGGTCCTAAAATAGGTTCGACGTACAAAACGTTAGGAACTTGATATAATAGGTAATGAAGCAGTGAAATCTAGTTGTGGTCGCTGATACTTTAGTATCCGACTAACAGTCGTCCGCCATCGACTGACTGACAGAACCATTGAGCGATATTCAGTCACCCCCCCACGAGGGCATCATGTGGCACAAGGCCGGTTTAACGTG